CCGTTGGTGACATATGGTTTGATTTGAGCGTCAAAGGGAATTATGAGCAAAAGCAATTGTAACACACAGAGTCGGTCAACATCCATGGGTCCCTACTGATGAGAGAGGGAGAGAGAGCAAATATATATGCCTCCACTGAAGGTGATTATGACAACAAATCCATCCTCAGACACTGACAGTCAATGGGAAAGAGTTAAGTTTTTACCCTGCTTATGGGAATAACTGTATCCTAATCTGACTCAATGAGGGAATTTTATTTTTGCAATAAATTGCCAAGTAGGAAAATTAAAAAAGAGTGTTGAAAATTGAAAATTAGTTTTTAAACATCTCAGTGAATCAAATAATGCCAGTGAAAGTCATTGATGGATCCTCAAACATTAAGTAAAAATTTACAGGAAATCTCACTTCCCCTGATGGCAATTACACTCCAGCAGATGACTGGGTAACTTCAATGGGGAAAATACACATTTCCAAAGGAAAGGTCTGGTCACCACTAACTCTACCACGGGGACAAAGGTACCATCACTCACAGCAGGACAAATGGTCATAGGTGCTTCCCACTGGATGACGCTGTGAGGGACACACTATGCAAAAAATACTTCTTGCCAAAATGTTTAATCTTAATGTAGTAAATGTTCAGATCTAACTACTAATTTACGCCATCTGGGAGTAGAGAGACAAGTTAATTAACATCTCAAAATAATAATCTGATAAATCTATTCTATTTGTCAAAAACCTGTCTCCACCCCAATGTTCATAACAGCACTATATACAACAGCCAAGATGTGGAAGCAACGTAAATGTCCATTGACAGATGTCTGGCTAAAGAAGTTGTGGTATATTTATAGAATGGAATACTATACAGTGATAAAAATGAATAAAATTACGCCATATAAAACAACATGGATGGATGTGGAAATTGTCAGTCTAAGTAAGTAAGCCAGAAAGAAAAGAAAAATACTATATGATATCTCTCATATGTGGAAGCTGAAAAAAAAAGAAGGAAGGAAGGAAGAAAGAAAGGAAGGAAAGAAGGAAGGAAGGAAGGAAGGAAGGAAGGAAGGAAGGAAGGAAGAAAGAAAGAAAGAAAGAAAGAAAGAAAGAAAGAAAGAAAGAAAGAAAGAAAGAAAGAAAGAAAGAAAGAAAGGGAAAGAAAGAAAGAAAAAGAAAGAAAGGGAAAGAAAGAAAGAAAAAGAAAGGAAGGAAGGAGGGAAGGAAGAAAAAGGAGGACACTAATGAACTCATCTACAAAACCGAAACAGACTCCCAGACATAGTAAACAATCTTATGGTTATCAGGGAAAGCAGGTAGGAAGGGATAAATTTGGGAGTCTGAGATATGCAAATGTTGGCTACTATATATAAAAATAGATGAAAGAACAGATTTTTTGTGTATGGCACATTATCTATATTCAATATCCTGTAATAACCTTTAATGAAAAAGAATATGAAAACAAATACATGTATGTATATGTATAACTGGGACGTTATGCTGGGACACCAGAAGTTGACACATTGTAACTGCCTATACTTCAATAAAAAAAATTAGAATGAAAAAACTTGTCTGGATTTTGTAGTAAGATTGGCTGATCATTCTACCTTAAAAAGACATGAGAAACATGACTCAAAGTGACATACGAATGACAATCAGATCCAGCTCAACAAAATATTACATATATGTGTGTATATTATTATTATGTGTGTATATTCATATGTACATATTGACTATTATAATTGAAAATATTGATTTTATATATAAAATATTGATTATATATATAAAATATTGTTTTTTATATATGTATATACATATATATATATAATTCCATAATTTTACCTGCTACATTTTCCATAGAAAACTCCTACTCCTGGACTTCAGGTTGTACTTGAGGATATTATGTTATATCCAAAAGGACAGTCACAGAAAGTCAAATAGTACATGACAACAGTTATATGATATGTCTAAACTAGTCAAACTCATAAAATTACAGAGCAGAGTGACGGTTTCCAGGGGCTGGAGGAGGGAGAAACCGGGAGTTGCTAATCATGGGCTTCCAGTCTCAATTACACGAGATGGGCAAACTCCAGAGACCTGCTGGAGCGCACTGCCCCTACCGTTAACAGCGTTGCACTGCACTGCGCTGCATAGTGTTGTGCACTTAACATTGTCTTCAGCTCTCCCGTTAAGTTTTCTCTCCACAGTAATGTAAAAATACAAAAAATTTTTTTAAAAAGTAAGAGAACAGAACCAAACAGAGAAAAATGTGTTTAAACAGTTAATTTTATGATGGAAATCAATGAGAGAAATAGAAAAAAATTGAATAATTCACAAGGTTGGCTCTACCTTCCAGACGAATGTTCCTGAGTGACTATTTCATCTACTGTTAGTATCACCATAAGCCAGTCACTTCATCCCTCAAACATCGATGACTTGCGTAGCTTCCAGTAAATCTCCCTGGACTGTGCTTCCTGCTGGAGACCCCTCAAAGCAGAGACACCAGGACTAAGGATTCAGGCACACAAGCCCCACACAAAACTGTAACTCCTCTCTCAGCTGATTTCCACCTTTCTTTATTGACTTCCCATTGCGTGCTTTCATGGCCTTCCTTCCTGTACACAATCACTCTCATCATCTAACTTCTGGTCATCCTTTACAGCTCAGGGAAATGCCACCTTCCTCCTGACTTCCAGGTACCTATTCTAACCCTCCCTCATCTGCTTTCTCCTCCCTAGTTTCCTACACACAGTTTACCATTAAGGTCTCACCACCATTTACACCAAGACTTTCTCAAACAGAGAAACCATTATGGGTTCCATTAACAGCCTTCCAGACAGAGGCTCTGCTCTCTAGAACCTTCTGCCCCACAAAGGGGGGAGGAATAGGAGGGGAGCTGAGTAGACACCTGGCTGAGGTGCAGGAAGAAGGTTGTGAGGACCAGAAGGAGAGGAGAGCGAGAGGGCTCACCTGGTTGCAGACGGGCTTGTGCTTGAGCCCTGGCTTGTTCAGGATCTTCTCCAGCTGCTTGTGGTTAAAGTTGGACACCCCGATGGACTTGGCCAGTCCCGCATCCTT